ATCATGTTTTCCAATATCGTTCATGATTTTTGCTTCCCATTCTAGTGTTTTTTTTTCTTTAATTGAATAATATTTATATAATACTAATTATACCTTCTTTTAGGATTCTGAGCATGGCGTCGAAGTAACAAATTTGAGGCTAATATTATATTTAAATTTATTGACATTCTAGTTCCATGGTTATTTAAAATTAAATTTATATAATTTGTTTTAATTTCTTAGTGATATGAGTCTTTATGTAACTAAATTGTCTATGACAGAGAATTGCAATACCACGAGTAAAAAATCAACTAAGATGACAGAAATTCATAAAAGTGACAGAACCGAACTTCCATATAATTCACATTTTTATGTAGACTTAATTGACTTTAAAGCTAAATGTAAGTAAATACGTGATCTTTTATGTATTAATTTAAAACAATAAATAACTGACTAATTTTTATCTAAATAATAGTTATCTTTATCAAAGTGAAACGAAGAAATTGTGATTGTGATAAAATTTTTGTAAGCATAAAAGTCATATAAATTTAAATAAAAAATTAATCATACTAATTCACATCGCTTTAGAATCTGTTACAAAGTGAAGAAGACAATATTTTACAACGTCTTGCTGCTTTACGAACGAATTCGATATCCACCGAATTTAGCGACGTATCATCTAACAGTTTCGTTTCAATCGAACCTGCAACTTTAGCCACGCCACAAACAATGACATCTATATTAGATCGTCTTGGCACTACATCTGAATCAACCACGCCTATTTATTTTTATTCTGGGGCTTTTTCAACTGCACCACATGAACCCTGGCAATGTCATAACCATTTCGTATTTTGTGAATTACTTGGATTGTGAGTAAAGAACTCTACATAATAATTGACAGACGCAAAATTTATTTTTATTTTTATTTATTTATTTATTTATTTATTTTTATTATTATTACTATTATTATTATCATTATTATTATTCTTATTATATATATATATATAGCGGTGGATACGGTAGAGTTTATCATGTGGTTAGCATATCTACTGGAATGGAGTATGCTCTAAAAGAAAACCGGGGTCGAAAAAAAACACTAGAATGGGAAGCAAAAATCATGAACGATATTGGAAAACATGATCACATTGTAAATTTCTATAATGCATTTGGATACGTTGGCAAACCTAATCAGTATATTTTAATGGAACTGTAAGCTTTGATTTATACTTGTATTATTAATAATACAACCAATGGACATTCATGTCGTATATTATATTATTGTTATTGTTAGCTGCGTGTTTGGTTCTATCCAGGATATAATAACTGATGGTAGATTTAAATTTGATCACGAAAATATCTTAACCCTTATGTATCAGATGGTATCTGCGCTGGATGTGAGTTAAACTTTTTGTGTTTAGTCAAAAAGTTTAATTACATTGTTTAATATATTTTTATATAGCATATTCACAGCGCAGGTGTGATCCATCTGGATATCAAACCAGAGAATATTTTAGTCGCATCCCATGAGCCACTTTATTTTAAACTTTCTGACTTTGGACTTTCTGCTTACGTGGCAGATAAACCGACAGAATGTTATGGAACCTTGAATTACAGTAAGTATTATATTCTCTTTTATTTAATTAAAAATCATGGCGAAAAAATTAACAAGCATGGCATAGTGAGTCCAGAAGTCATCGAGAATGCTGTAGAATATGATTTTAAGGCAGATTGGTGGTCGTTAGGTGTAACGATTGTTGAGTGTATGTTGGGCTTTAATCCATTTAATGACAACCACAAAGCGAGACATGAGGATGACATGATGTGGCAGCAGCAAGTGAACAAAAGGGTTTGTGAGGAAATCGAAGCTGAAAAGGCCGAATGGTTAAAAGATCTTTCTTTTGAAGGTTTTATTAAATTATAATTTCTGTTATTTACCTTATTTACCACATCCAATATCACAATTTAACTATTATTTGATTTTTAGTAAAAGAATTCATTTTGAACGTTATAAAGTATAATCCTTGTGACAGGACCTGGTTTTCTTATTAAAAGGTTTATATGTGCAATATTCTCTTGAAATCAAATGTTTAATGAGGTAATTGGTGTTTTTAAAATACGTATTAGAATTTGAAAATATACACATGCATAAAAAGACATTTGGTGACATAGACTAATTATTCATATGCTACGTACATGTATATCATTAGCTTTAAGATGGCCTATTCTTTCATCCTGAGGATTTCATTTCTTATTTCAGCTTTTTAAGGTCATCATAAATACCTTCCGTTTTAGAATTTAGCCTTTGAAATCTTTTGTATATTCCATGAAGAATTTGATACAATGATAATAACTGTCATGTGATTGATTCTAAGAATTTTACTGTTAAATTTTTTTGATTAATCACTTTTTAATATGAATGGTTCCAAAAGATGTTCATATCGAATGCATTTATTACTTCAATGACATAAAGAATATTAAATGGTCATAATCGATCTTTTAATATGAATCGTTAATTTATGATCAAGATCATTCAAATATAATCTTTCTTAATAAGTATTAGAATGTATAAA